ATTGTTTCTTTCTTTTCCCGCTGTTCGGGCGAGAGTGCGGTAGCGTGAAAGATTGTGGTGCATGTTTTGGGAAAAAACGCTGGAAAATGGCTGAAAAAAGTGGTAAGTTTATTAGAAACAAATATTTGCGCTGAACTCCTTGACTCTCTCGAATGGGATATTAAACGCCTTCATAACCTTCACACCTACTTACCTCACTTGTGACTCAATTTTGTGTAACCGTTTTCAGACACTGACAGTCCTGATCATAAAAGGATGAGAGTACATCATCCCGATGTAATGGACAAGGCTAAATCTGTTCTGGTCAAGGATTTGCCGGAGATCTGTGGCGAGGTACAGTTTTGCCCCTTCTACACAGAAATCATTTCAGTTACCAAAACCTCTTACTGTAACATCTCTCCTCATTTCTTTGTATCCATTTCCAGCTCCAAGTCAAATCCTTCATGGAGAAAGTTCGCCTATCTAACAAAATATGTCCTGAATTGAAAACGAGTATCGTTCGAGTAATGCATTTCCGAAAGGATAATTATGCATTTGTTGAGGTAGGAGGATGACTTACATTTGGGGCACAAGAAGCATTTTACTTTTTGTCACATTAATTTTGGATCCTGTTTTGTGTTTGCAGTTTTTGACAATGGACATTGCACGACGTATAATCAAAGTGAAAGGTGCTACTTTCTTTAAAACAGCTGTTACTTTTGAAAGTCTTTTGTATGACGATGAGACAGTGCTGCAGGACGACCTAACGCTTGGTGATATGAGTCGCCTTCCACTAGGGGTAGAATCATCTACACCCACCAAAAGTAAGTCGTAACCAGTGTGGCTGCTAAAGTTATTTAAAATGTCTAACCAACTCTACATGCGCGGGTGTTGAGGACATGCTAAGGGGGCTTTCCCCTTTTAAAGCTCCCGCCAGCAAGAGGTCTCTCCTTCCATCTGATGTAAACAACAACGGACAACAACAAGGCACTGAAAATGATGATGACATAATCCCTCTATCCGAAGAGGGTGATGGAGAGGTTGTGGCTCTTGAAGGGAGTGACAGGGCACAGGGTGAAAATGCTGCAGTGGCCCTTCCCCAAATTATGTTTGGTAATATATTGTATGAACCCTTTGATGAGGTGAGGAACTCTTGCAAGCAAATGTAATTTCTGTTGGAGTAGCTACTGTATGTTTACAGTGTTTTTATTTTCTCATATCTGCAGGACAATTTTTCCAAATTTTTAAAATGGTGTATCAAACTGAAGTGTGTGGTAGGTCAAGGTGTTGATACATCTTTCACTGTTGGAACATATGATAATGTTAAGAAAACCATAATTGTTGAGGTAAGCTAGTAGGGGACACATTTACACTTGGTATTTTAGAGCAATGAGCAAAATTGTGTGATTCTGAGTTTGGATTTCTTTTCCACAGTTCCAGTCAGTGGAGGTTGCTGATGAGTTGTGCAACAACGTACAATTTGCACACTATATGACTGTGCCTTGGACCTTGGAAAAGGTGGGAGAGATCGAAGTCCAAGTCCCAATGATTGAATTTGGAGATATCATATATGAGCCATTTGATAAGGTGAGCAAAGCTTCTTGCATCTCTATTAGAGTTGCCATTATTCAATCTATTCTTATTGCTAAATCTTTTCAGGACGACTTCAGCAAATTTCTGAAGTGGTGTATGAAACAAAAATGTAAACTCCCTGATGGTATCGATTCATCTTTTTCCATTAAAAACTACAACCATTTAAAAAAGTCTGTAATTGTTGAGGTGAGCTGTTTCATTTTCGTCTCCTGCTAGTTCATATCTGTGTTATAATGCATTATGTTTTATTTCCATTTTCCAATGTTAGAGAAGAACTAACTGGTTTTTCTTAGCAGAAAAGTGTGATTTCCTTTTGTTTCTTTTCATGTCAGTTCAAGTCATCTGAAGTGGTTAAAGAGGTGTGCTCAAAGCTGAGGGACACACAATATATGCTTTCACCGTGGACAGTAACTGAGGTGACAACGAAACAAGCCAGGATGCCAGTATCAACAGATAGCAAAATCACCACTGTTCACAAGGAACGAACGACAATCGACATAAGTGACTTAGTAACTGTGGACACAATCAGTGGGGCTGAAGACGCTAATGAGAGCAGGCCAGTGCCTTTAAAATCCTCTGCATTCCTCATGAAAAGTGAAGAAGGGAAAAAACTTTTCCTACAAAAACTCCTCCTCACTAGAAGATTGTTTCAGAACAAGAGGAATCACCCATCTGGTTACACTCGATTGGTGGGTGAAATTTGCAAAGCAGGTGTCCAGTTCGACATGCAGGAGGCAAAAATCAGGCGCAAGTATTGGCTTGACTTAAACAATGATCTAAAGAAGGGTACACAGACATCACCATACGCTCAGGTTTTGGGAGTAATCTTTAATGGGGATCCCCCAGAAATCTTAAAGGGAACTGCCTTTGAAGTCGATGACGGCTCTGAAATGACACTAATTGACCCACAGAGATTTGCTGCCACAGCAGAGATGTTTTCAAGTGGTAAGTTTTTCAGTGTAAATATACTTATATTTTTCTAACTGTTTCATTCTTATTGAAGGTCATACTTTTCAGGAGAGACTTGGTCAACTGCAGCAGCTATTAGGCTATTAAGAATTGTCCGAGCCAATTTGGAGGAGCTGAGAGGAGCTGCCAACACTGACAACTTCTGGCGAGAAGTCTCACGAATGTTTGCATCTGAACCACACAATGCCACCAGTTGTGAGAAGAAATTTACCAAAGCAAAGCAACTCTATCGTGATCATGGAGCAAAGCTGAATAGATCAGGGGTAGAAGGTCCTGGAGCTCAAAGAAAGGAACTCAAACAAACAAGTGAACTTGCCGAAGACCAAAGCATACAACAAAGGGGCACGTCAGATCCTTGGTTCTGGAATAACGATATGCATATAATCATGGCCAAGGATGATATTGCTAATCCCCCAATGACACTTGCTTCAGGGTCCAGTAATGCTGTCACCTTGGCAAATGCTTCTGTCTTGGCAAATACTTCTGTTCGTCACAGTAATGAACAAATTCCCAATAGCAGATCAAGAATTCCTCAGTTGCATAAGCCGAAATCACAGAAAGCAATGTTTGTTGATCTAGCTTCAAGTCTAATAGCAGCAATGGACCGTAGAACAAATGATCCAGGAAGCGGAAGAAGGGGGTAAGTCGAGTTGAAACCGTGCACTTTTGCAAGGCCTTAACCTTGCAGGTGGGAGAACAAGTGGGAATGTCATCTAAAAATAGATGCAAGAGGATGGGACTTATCGCACCACACTTATTTTTGGACCAAATTTTCACTCATGTTTACTTGATAGATTGATAAGAGGTCACTGAACCAACTCGACTTAACCCCTTCTTCCGCTTCCTGGATCAAATGTCCTTGCAGGACAGTTGAAAGGTCCTCAAGCCAACCAGCATGATCCTATTGCAGATGATGAGGAGGAAGAAGACTTGAGATTTGGTCATAATTAGGTACTTTTTTATAGGTTTTGAAAGATGTACATGAGCCCTGTACCTCATTAAGAAAGCTTTTATTTTTCTATGATTTAAGTTTTTGAATTCTTTTAATAAGACTGTTGTCCATGTGATTTTATTTTAAGTTTTGCTTAATTAATGCATAGTTAATTTATGCAAGAGATGACTAATTGTAATGAGACTGAATAAAGAATTGAGCAATGTTGTTCATAATTTCGTATATTTTATTTTACCATTTCTATTTGCACAGTTAGAAAAAAAAATAGATCCAATGACAAGGTAGAAAACTTTCATTCTAGATTAAGATTATCACATTTAGAAAATGCTCCTTAATGAATCAAAAGAAGTGAGCACATAAAGAATTATCACACATGTGGATGTAGAATATTAGCAATGTATTCTCTCTTGACAGCCCCCCTTTCCCTTGCCTCTGTCCTCAATTGAACATATCCGTCTTCAGGAATTGGAGGAGGTACTGCTGGAATAAGTCCCTGTAAAAGTTGAAATCTGTTATCTGACTTCCTCTTATTTAATACGATAAAGGATTTAATCTGTGTTGAACTTGCCTCACAATCATTTCCTTCCAAAAGGATAAAATTATGGAGCACAAAGCATGCCATAATATGATAGCGGACCAGGAAAGGATTTCTCATGGGCAACTTTTTGAGCCGCCTATGCTTTGCTCGTAGAGCAGCAAAGCTGTTCTCGATCCGCACTCTACATGCTGATAACAAAGTATTGTGGGTCTTCATCCAGTCGTCTGCATATCCATCATCAGCGTATGGAATCAAGAGCTGTAAAAGCCTTGAGGTAAATATCTAAATGCAACATTCATCATTGAAGATTCATAAAAATTTGATATTACCTTGTCAGTCAAGATGTATGCACCATCACCCAGTAAATGTTGTCCCTCTGACAACATATCGGGATTGGTGAGTAAATTTCTACTAAGTGGGCTGTTATCGAAATTTCTGACATCACCAATTGCCCCTGGGTTGCCAACATACACATCACGGTACAAAAGTTGATGGTCACAGACTGCTTGGACTAAGATAGAATACTGGTGATGTCTGTCCACATAATTTTGTGGGTTCTCAAGAGGCTTCGTGATCTGAATGAGAACACCGTCAATGCACCCTACTGCTCCTATGTAGCCCCAAACATCTTCATAGTAGGCTTGAATTTGAGCTCTTTCCACTTCATCAGGCCATTTTATGAACCTGTCAGCAAGTTCACACAGAATTTCGATAATATATCTGTAGTGGTAATGGATGACATATCTTTTCTTCCCAAAGTGTAGGCCCGTAGATCTGAACGTGTCCTGATTGAACATGGGCCACAGAGCCATCATCAGGATCAGGTCGACACGAGTTCTCTGCCTTTGAAGTCGACCAGTTTCTCTCATATGATTCCCAACAATGACGACCAATCTCTGAAAAAGAGGAGTAAAGTTACTTGTTTACCCTGGCGTAAATAGAAGTGTCAAACTCATGAAACCAATCTAAGAACCAACCTCAAAAACAATTCTGTCCATTCTAAAGTTGGCCTTAAATGAGGCATTGCTCATTAAGCGGTAGCCTTCCACATCGACATGGACAACATCTTCTCGTCCCTCGCCTAGAAATGCATAATTGAATGAAATATACTAAATAATGACAGGGTTAAAAGTTTCTCATGAAACACACAACACAGAAGGATATCAACATACCGTCTTCGTCATCATCAAGATTGCCCATCAAAAGTGCTAAAACCAGAAGCAGTTCCTCCTCATCGTTACCTAATTCTTCATTAATGAGGTTTTGATCCATTTCTTATTTTCAAAAATAATTGTTTTCTTCTGCGCGTCGCGCTAAAACGACTCCTCGCCTCGCTCGCTGCATGCACTACGAAAACAATGGCGAAGACCTGCAAATAGGCAACGCTATTCGCAGGCGAACTGCTACACAATACATGCCATTAATTCGAACGGGAATGCTCAAAACCAAAAAGTGGGTCGATATTTGGATTCCTTGAACCATCCCCTTTCCAAAAATATATATTTTAGTGCTCTTTGCAGATGTTTGCGCTCGGCCGCTTCAGCGCGCCGCCGCTCGGGCGCGCGCCCTTAACTTTACAGACCATTGAAGCACCGTGGTCAACCGCCAATGCCGACAGGGTTGCCCACACTAAATTCTTGTGGACTTTTTTGTGCATAGTTGTGCACGTCCACACTGCAAAAAATCAGTGTCTGATACGGATCATGCTACGGCGTTCCGTATACCCCCTGAAATGGTGATACGGACATCTGCCGTACTACTCCTCCCATAAGAGCCTGTGCTTTGTAAAGCGTACTACGGAAATTTAACGGAAAATGTACCGCTAATTTTACACCGGAGGTTGCCGTTTCAGTTTTCCGTTTGTGAATAAGTCCAAAATGCTCTACGGACAGTAAGGAACGGTCGCTCCGTAACGCAAAGTTCTCTGACGAAACGCATGAAACGGTCACTCCGTAGGGATACGGACTGGCCGTTACACGTTGTCCTTTATAGAAATTGGAGTAACGGAGTGTCTGTTCCTCACTGTCCGTAGAGCATTTTGGACTATTTCACAAACGGAAAACCGAAACGGCAACCTCCGGTGTAAAATTAGCGGTACATTTGCCGTTAAATTTCCGTACCACGCTGTACAAAGCACAGGCTCTTATGGGAGGAGAAGTACGGCAGATGTCCGTATCACCATTTCAGGGGGTATACGGAACGCCGTAGCATGATCCGTATCAGACACTGATTTTTTGCAGTGCATATGTTAAGTATAATATTATGCATCACTGTGCACATTTTAAGCAGGAAGATGCAAATAATGTACACAGTGATGCATAATTTTAAACATGCCTTATGGACGTTTGCGCATGCATTACTATGCATAAAAAATGCATCATTATGCAGTTAAAAAGTCCATAAGAATTAAGTGTGATTCTGGCGCGTCGACCGAGCTGGCTAGTCCGACCGCACCCATCTCGGAGAAGTCCAAAGGCGCCCGAGCGCCTTCGGAAAATTTTACCGCAGAGGAGATTCGCCTGCACGCTGCTTACGTGGGTTTGACCCCCGGTGCGCGGCAACCCCTTTCCCGAGAACTCTCCTGCGCCAAGAGGAAGATCTCCGAGGAAATGAGGACGCCTGGTCCAAAAAAAAGGTCCGTATTGGAAATGATGAGTGTGACGCGTAACGCCGCGTAACGCAGTAACTTTGCAGACTGCCGCACCCACACAGTGGGCCAGAAGACCGGTGGAGGCGGCCAAAACTCTAGACGCGTTTTGAGCTCCCGAGTCGCTGAATGGGACTCGAAACGAACGTGTGACTCCACCAATGGATTCCTCGTACGAAGAGTAATCAGTTGGCGGGGTCGCACGTTCGGTTCGAGTCCTGTTTAGCCCACTGAGCTCAAAACGCTTCTGGAGTTTTGGCCGCCTCCACCGGTCTTCTAGCCCACTGTGACCCGCGACTCTCATCTCCCGCGGTCCACTAGCCTACCCTTGTGTTCGAATATGTGTGGGCTTTGAGCAAACTGAACGAATAGCGCTTCGCCTAGCTTCACCTGTCTGCGTCTCTCTCGCACTCCGAGTCTCGGCAGGCCAGGTTCGAGCACGGCGCCACTTCACTACCCTCAGATGATCGCCCTTCATTGTGGTGAGCCACCAACACGGACCGCATGGACTTGTTGCCTTGCAGGGAACTCCTAGTAAGGCGTCACACACCAGCCATCAAACGTCACACGCCAGCTATCAAAATTTTCAAGATGTTTCAACTTTGTAAGAGCTTTGAAATTTGGCCCAGAAGTCCCATTGCTGCCAAGAGCACAAAATTAACGATTAACGCAGTTGCAGAGGCGTGAGTCGTTAGCGAGGGGTGAATCACTCAGCGATCTGGTGTATACACATGAGTGCATGATGGGCGAGTACACCTTCACTGATAAATATTTTGTCGTAACTTAGCAACACATTTAGCACTAATTTTTTTAGCGACAAGATTTGTTGTGGAACGAATAGCTGGCTGAACTATGTTCGTACTGGAACTAAAGGATAATTTCACAACACATCAACTGTCCACTTTCAAAAACAAGTCGTTGATTAACAACAACAAATGTTGTTAGTCAAAAACAAGTATTGTAAGTCGATAAAGATTTTGTAATGTCTGCGACAAGTATTCATTGAGTACTTTTGTCGCTAAATTTAATTTGCATGGTTCTACTTTTAACAATTGTAATTTCTCTGTGACTTAAAAGCACAAAATAGATGATTATTCATAATATACTTTAATTGAGCAGAAAATGACAAAAGATGTTGTTTCCACACAAATTGTATCGTTAAGTGTGATAACAAGAATTTTATTCTTCAACGACAAATTGTCGCTCACTAAATTCAACAACATTTGTTTCACTTCGTTTCACTTTGGTTCATGATGAAATTCTATGTTTTGGAACGACTAAATTTTCACTCATCTGATTGTTTCTCATTTCTCATTTTTTAACAGTGTTCTAACACTCATAAATTTCACATATTTAAAAGTTTTTTTGGCTTGTTTTAGCGGTTTAGACGGTACGCAACGCCAAATCGCGTAAAAAATGAGCGAATTTTGCTCTTTTTAAACTTGTGGGTACACTGAGTACGGACTAATTTGTACACCACATGAGTCATTCACCACTCGGTCGTTAGGGCACAGTTTTTACGCCTTTGAGTCCCTAGTGAAGTTTTCAGAATGCCCTGGGGCGGATGGGGTTTGCGCCGCTCCAATCGTCGTCTCTAGGTCGAAGTCCGAAGTTTCTGGCGGTTGTCGGACTGCTGCAAACAAAATAAGAAGTCGATGAGAAGTTTAAATTGCTCGTCCATTTTTCGTACGAGGGAGTTGCGCAACCGTTACAGCCTAGAGTGGCCCAGAGGACCAGTGGAGGCGTCAAAATCCCAGACGCGTTTTGAGCTCCAGAGTCGCTAAATGAGACTCGAACCGAACGTGTGACCCCACCAATGGATTGCTCTCCGAACGAGGAATGCATTGGTGGGGCCACGCGCTCGGTTCGAGTCCTAATCAGCTACTCTGGAGCTCAAAACGCGTCTTGAGTCTTAGCCTTCGGCGCCGGTGCCGGTCTCCTGGCCCGTTGTGCGGCTCTTACATACAGGTGTGGTGGTGATTCATCGACGCGTCGCGCTGGCGTCATGGAAGGCATCTCTGCGCTGCCGACACCTCGCACGAGCAGCCAAAGCCTCACCGTGAAGAAGTACAGCACCTCGACGGCACTCATGAAGCTGCAGCCAAGGAACAGGCTGAAGATACCTCCAAACGATGCTGCAACATGTCAAAGTAGGGTCAGTGCGGGGAAAAACTGGACAGGGGAAGAACTGGACACCCCACATTTTACTTCAAGTATCGTATGCACAGGCTTAAGGGGGGACCCTGGTGAAAAAATGGCCAAAATTGCCAAAAATAGTGTTTTTAAAGATCATAGATAAAATGTGCATAGAAGGTTTCAGATTCAACAGGTTGAACACCTTTAAGCTAAGTGGGTAGTTTCTTTATGATTTGGAAATAAATAACATTGAGATCAGTTGTCGTTGGCTTGTACGGTCAACTTCACAGCTTTGCTCAGTCGACAAAAAAATTTATCGTAGAAAGACTTCCTGCGTTCCTGGTTGACACCTACATGAGTCGTCTTGCATGGACTCTATTCTTTGATGACTTGTCGACAATTCTCAGTGACGGCATCTTGATATCAGCCCTACTTTTTTTACAAACACCAAATAGTTTAAAAAAAAAACAAAAAAAAACCTTTTTTTAAATGTTAAAATTTGAAAATTCATATCTCAGGACAAAGTTGAAATTGAAAATTCTGTCACTGACATCTCTTCTATACATCTTCAGGATAACCTAAAAAATATTTCAACACTTTCCGTTCCAATGAAAGACGCAGGAAGATTTTTCCGCAACGCTCTAAAAAACACTAAAAAGCCACTTTTCTCAGAGACCGTTCAGAGACCATTGAATTTTGTTTTGGGAACTCACCATAATGAACCTAATAATTAAGCAAAGTTTCAACTTTCTGGGACTATTTTAAAGCCTACTTGAAAGTTTCACCAGGGTCCCCCTTAAAAACTGTCATGTAATGAACCGCTGATGCCACGGAACTACTTTTGATAGTTGTACTACAAACCTAACTGTCTACTAAGTACACACTTACAAATGCATGCTTGCAAGTACACGTACACACTTACCAACGCATGCTTGGCCAAGTACACTCTTACAAATGCATGCTTGACGCATGGAGTTATGCGGCGGAAAGCATGCGTTTGTAAGTGTGTACTTGCAAGCATGCATTGGTAAGTGTGTACTTAGTAGACAATTAGGTTTGTAGTGTAATTTATGTTGAAATGTGCACATCTGCACAAATATGGAAAAAGTTAGGAAGAGAAAACTTTGTCGACGCCGTACTCACACATGAGCTGCACTGTGTTGCTGACCAGGTCGTTGACCAACAAGACGGACGTATGGGTGTCGAAGTACACGTGCAAGAGACAGCGGTCGGTTGCGTTCAGGTTTTTGCTGACAGGCAAACCCAGTTTGACTTGAGAAAAGGCTGTGCAGTCGCCACTCATGTCACACTAGTAAATTTTGCCAGAATGCCAGAAACAATGGCATACAGGACATGAGCCCCGTCCCGTTTGAGCCCCGCACTGTCAGAAAATTCCGAAAATAAATGGAAAAATCATGGAGTTTTTCCGAAACTTCTGCATGAGCTCTCCATAAATGCAAATTCTGGGCTTTCTCCGAAAAATTTCGGAATTTTGAACAAAAATGCATGCTGCACTATCACAAAAACACGAAAAAAAGGTTTGCAACCAGTTAAAAGTTGAGGGAAGAAGGGTGAACCCCTACTTCTTGAGCTCAGTTTTCATAATATTAAGGGAAAGCTACAGGATATAAGTCAAATGAGCTCGAATGAGGTTGTCCCTTCTTTGACCATTTCAGACCAAAAAAATGCTTCAGCGAAGTCCTCTTTAATATATCTGAGAAAAGACTTGCATTTTACCTCCTATCTGGACCCAAGGAATGCTCCGAAGAACATCTGTATAAGCCCTGAGAAAATCTCTCCGAAAAAAAATGGAAAATGAATGGAGTCTCCATGAACGTGATTATAGGGTTTTTCTCCATAAAATTTCGGAGCTAATTTCTAACAGTGCGATGGTCTGAGCCCCGACCTGAGCCCCAACCTAAAACAGGGTTAGCCCCGACTTGAGTCCCGACCCAAGCCCCAATTTCCAGAGCCCGGATTGAGCCCCATTTGAGCCCCGCACGCTAAGACTTTTTTCAAAACTACGACGGAATTCCGTCGAAGATACGACATGTCAACATATCCGTCGATCTACGACGTATAGCACGTCGTAGATCGACGAGCAGTGGCGCTCCTTGCGTCACATTTTGGAACTATAGGCGCTGGCGTGACGAACGAGCCAGCCAGCGGCGACGAAGGATCAGTGTATTTTCAAAACTGTTAAAATTGACTTTGCATTACAGAAACGGATTTGTTTCAACAAGACAAACTAAAAAGGTCAACACATTTCATAGGTTTGGATGCACAATGAAAAAGTTTTTGAATTTTAGTGCTAAAATGGCCAAAAAGAACCATTTGTCACTTCAAAAATTCCATTTCTCATCCAAATCTATGACATGAGTAAACATTTTATATTTGTCTTGTCAACGCCTACCTATTTTTGTAAAGTGATGTCAATTCGGACAACTTTCGGATTTTCAAGCTTTTGAGCATTTGGCCAAGATGTACCTATTCTAGGTATTGAATCTTTTTCATGCAAAACAGGGAGGAAGGCTTACGGTTTCCAAAGGCTGCAATTGCGTTTCTAAATAAGTAAGATTAGCTCTTGGGAAAGCTTTGAAAAGTCCGAAGTGATGGTGTTGTGAAAACAAAAATGAGCTCGATAAACTAGGGGTACGCGCCGTTTAGTCTGGGCGCGTAGTGTGGCTGAGCGATGCGAATTGACATAGTTTGTGCACTTTGGACTTTGCTTGAGTAGACGAAATGTCCATCTTAAGGGCTCATATTCAGTGAACTTTAGACCAGGGGTTCAAATGGAAGTGATTTTCGTTATCAGAACACCAAAAACTGCTGGGATCAGTGTCAAACTCCATTTAAAAATTTTGGTCCAAAATTGGCCAAAATTCGGTTAAATGTGAGTCTGGGAAAAGTTTGAAGGTCATTTTTGAGTTCAGCACACCAAAAACTGCAGGAAACAATATAAAACTCGACATGAAAATTTTGGTCCAAAATGACCTAATTTAGGATGAAATATAAGTCTGGAGTCGAAATGAAAGTGATTTTCGTTATCAGCACACAAAAAACTGCTGGGATCAATGTCAAACTCGACTTAAAAATTTTGGTCCAAAATTGGTCAAAATTAGGTTCAATATGAGTCTGGGAAAATTTTGGAAGTCATTTTTGAGTTCAGCACACCAAAAACTGCAGGAAACAATGTAAAACTTGACTTGAAATTTTTGGTCCAAAATGACCTAATATGGGATGAAAATATAGGTCTGGTGTTAAAATGGGAGTGATTTTCGTTATCAGCACTCAAAAAAACTGCAAGAATCACTGTACAATTAATTTTGGAAAATTTAACCAAAAATCGGTTAAATTTTGGGTCAGGGGACAATATTGAGTCAATATTGAGGTCAGCACACTGAAAAATACAGGGAAACACATGAATCTCATCTTGGAAAGTTTGGCCCCAAATTGCGTAGCTCTAGATGAAAATGTAGGATTGGCGTTGAAATAAATGTAGCTTTGTGACCGGTACACTGAAAACTACACACAATACTTTAGACTCAATTTCTGTATATTGTTTCTATTTGTCTTCATGAAGCACCCTCTGTCGTCACCAATTCCCTGATGGCACACCAAAGCGAATCCCTCAGTCGAGTAAAATTCAATTGCCAGCATTCAATCGCTTTATTGGCTACTCGTATGCTTGGGTCACTATTCGATAACTATTTTTTCTTAACTTATGAACTCACAATTTTATAAGTAATATTTATGAAACATTTTGTCATTCTTTCATTGTGAACCAGTGAATAAAACAATATTGATTGGAATATGTTATCACAGTTAATATTGAGAGAGTCAGTTTAGGGTAGGCTGATCTGAACCAGTTAGCGGGGACCAATTATTGTCAAATCCAGTGTTTCGTCACATAGAGACCAATGCCAAGGCTACCCAAGGCTTAATGAACCGACATAATTTATCTTACTCATGTATTAACTTTGGTGAAAATAAAGGAATCGTCTCATTAAATCCCATCACTAATCATATATATAGTTGGTTGTCTATGCACTAATTGACTCACCGCTCAAAACCTGAGCCGTCTCTTTGAACCCAATATCAATTTAAGGTAGTTCGAGCGACCACGCTATTGTTAACACAAAGAGTTGAAAATTTGAGAGTAGGCTCTTAAGATAGTGACTTAATCACCTGCAAAGTTTCAAACCAGGTCACCGGGCAAAATCAGTGTTAATACGCGATTAAAAGTAGCCGAGAATAGCATTGCCGCTTATGGGAGTAGGGTTATGTTGCCCATCCGAACCCGGTATATTTCGTTTTTAAAATGCTCGGAGTAAAGTCAAACCGATAAAAAGCATTTCTTTAAAAGTATTTTCAGTCACTTTACGAAATGAAAGAGAGAAAATAGGGCGTCACCGGACTTATTTGTGAGAAAAGACATAAAATTGCGGTTTTAGCAGCCGACACTGGAGTCAAGTGCACAACTAAATTAAGAGTTAAAATTCATTTCTTCGCTTTGCCGCTGCCTAGATGGCCCAAACGAATGTAATTCTAAGTTAAAAATAGAATGGGACCTTTTTATAATTTTTTTAAGGGCTGGAAACAAAATTTTCAAATTTCAACTCTCGCTTGACTAGTATGCCCCGCGCGAACTACCTTAAACTCTATTAGAATTAAACTTACACAACCCTATATTGATTCGATTAATAAACACATGTTAGTACTTTTGCATTCTTGTCAGCTTGCAGCATTGCAATAGAATGTATTTCTCGAGTCCAAAATAAGTATGCCCGCTAATTTCAACACAAGTTATTTATGCATTTCCCTGATTTCCTTTACTATGAAAATTTAAAAAAGAGGATGACACTAGATAAAATGAAATAAGAAGATGCACACAATACAAAAGGTCAAAATGAAAACATTCCTTTTTACAATGCTTTGTCAAAGTGCACTGACCTGAAGATGATTCCCCTATGACAGTGGAGGGGGGAGAGGGGAACGAAACACGTAAATCATTCTCAAATCCATTCCCCATATTTCGCTGTGTTGGTGTTCCAAAAGGGTTTTAATCATTCAAGAATGTTGAAAAACTAAGGCCGATCTCATTTCCAAACCCTTCTGCTCTTTAATTCGTTTTATTTGCTTATAGGGCATGGGCACATCGAGACAAGTGAAGGTTTCACTGGGGATCATTGAGCGGGATCATTCAAATGCTCCCCTTTTTGTAAGGCATGGTGTTTACTGCTGAAAGAAGATAAATGTTGCAAAGATGCCTAGAGGGCATTGGTAGGCATCGAAGCACGCATAGAAGTTGCTGGAGAGTGTTAAGATTGCTTCATCAAACTTTGGCCTTAATGAAAGTAGGACCCCCAGCGATAGCGCCTGCTGGGTAGGCAACAAGCAGTACACAACCGTCCATAACCTCCAACTGCATAGCTTTTATTTGTTTCACGTGATGAAGTCCTAAAATTTTCAATGAATCCATGTTCCTGTAAGGCACGAATGCCAATAAATTCGTGGGCGAGTGATAACCTCCGCTTAAATCGTAGATATATCGTAGGAAAGACGTCGAAATTCAAGCTTCCCGCGAGATTGATCCCCAGTGAGTAGAGAACGTTCTGGGTCCCATCACCGCTAGTGACTTTCAAAGAGCCCACTGCCCATGCTCTATTTGCTTATGTCCCGTATTTGAGAGCCGCGGACCCGCAGGTATGAGAAATTGGTAAGCGGCGCGGCGCTGCCAACCTAACCACGCTAATGACCTGATTCAAAAATATGTTTTGAATATTTCAAACGATACTAAACAACGATTTGAAACAAACTCGTGTTGGGGGGTGCTAAGGCGACGTTAAATACGAAATCTTGAAACTATAGCCACTGTAGTTGCTGAGAATCATTGGTGAGTACAAAGTCACAGACAGACAGACGCACGACCAGTCACTTTTCAGCGCGCCCAAACACGGCAAGGGCTTCGCTATCGCTCAGCCAATAAAAACTTTTGCATTTTGATGAATAATGCGGTTTTTCATTTGCCTCAGATCTTGAAAGAAGTTTGTTGGCGTAAAAGTAGTCAATCAAACAAAGTGCTACAACATGAAGTGAAATCCAAAGAAAAAAGATGGTTCTCCTAGGAAAATATCTCAGATGCTTATACTGTACGATACCCAAATTACATTTAAATGGTCACGATTGGACTAATCTGCTGTCAGGTCACTCCGCAGAGGATTTTTGTGACTTATCACTTTCCGCTAAGATGGAAAACATAGTCATCTCAACCTATAATTTTTAAATGAAGTGGAATTTTGAGACCCGTCAACTGGAACTCAGCATAAAGTGTTTGTTACTCGGATGTAATTTTTAGACTTGGATCTTTTTTCCATTTAAGTTGTTAAAATGAAGGGGGCTTAAGTTGACTTGATTCTTTTCACAATAGGTTTCATAAAAACACAAGTTGAGTTATCTCCTATCGACAATATATTCAACGCAGTCATGTTGGCTTTGGTTGAGTTGATTCTATTTTCCGCTAAATTGAGACTGTAAAAGGTGTCAAGTTGAATTGTATCCTTTCTCCACTTGCATTTTCTCCTTACCTACTAGGAATTAAGTGAAATAATTTGTTTCTACGGTAGATATTCTGACAAGATGAGGATTCAATTTTCAGCTTTGTAGGCTTCGTTGTAACTTCGCTGAGTTCAGTCAATTTTCAAACTCAATCAAATAGGCATCACCTTACAGATTTAGATTTGTCTCAAGAAAACAAACAAAAAATGCCAATACATGTTATTGGTTAAAGTTGAAAATAAAAGAGTTATTGGATTTTTAGAGTGCTAAAATGGTCAAAAAGACATTTGAATTTTAATAACTCTTTCATTTTTCATTTTAACCCATAACATGTGTTGACACTTTTTGTTTGTCTTCTTGAGACGAATCCAAATCTGTAAAGTAATGTGTGTTTGGTCAAGTTTAAAAATTCACTCCAGGCGCTGTCCTGCGAAAGTCCGCCACTTTCGAAGGTCGACGCTCGTCGAAGCTCGAAGTGTCTGCACTGGTGGGGAGCTATGCTTCGATCTACGACGAGGCTTCGACGGAATTGCTTTCGAACTTCGACGTGGCGTTGCAGTTTTCCGTCGAAGGGGGCGATTTCCGTCGTGAATACGAAAGAACTTTTCGAAAAAAGTCTTAGCGTGCGCGTGAGCCCCGCGGCAATAAATTATGCAAAAAATGCGTGATTTCAGGCCGCGGGACTTAAATGGGGCTCAAATAGGTCTCAAACGGGGCTCAAACGGGGCTCAGGTCGGGGCTCAATCCGGGCTCTGAAAATTGGGGCTTGGGTCGGGACTCAAGTCGGGGCTCAACCCTGTTTCAGGTTTGGGCTCAGGTCGGGGCTCAGACCATCGGGGCTCAGACCATCGGGGCTCAAACGGGACGGGGCTCATGTCCTGTATGCCGTTTGATGGCTGAAATTCTGTCAACTTATTCCTTGAATTTTGTGGTAAGACTTTAGTGTCTGACCGTTTTTTGGTCAGACTTTTTTGTCTGACCAAATTTTGGTCAGACTTTCAGGTCTGACCAAAACTTGGCGAGACTTTTATGTCTCGCCTCTGGTGTGGCGAGAAGTCTGACCTTTGGATTTGTAGTGTGTACCTTTTCCCGTGGATTTTTTCTACAGTGTACCTTAACGAACATTGTCTTGTGTTACGTCATTAAAGCAGTGTTAGATAATG